CCCTCACAGGGTGTCTATTGTGGAGAGAGGAAGGGAAGACAATTGTAAGCTGCTCTGAGACTCCTTTGCACAGTGAAATGCGGGGTATAAAAACCAACTCTTCTTCTTTTTCTTCTAATTCAGAAGAACATCTCTAGGCTGCTAAAACCATTCAAACCTAAAGGTACTTGAGAACATATAAGAAAGATTGCATATGGAATAGGAGGAAAGTCTTTTTCTCATTTCACCTCTAGACAGAGGGACAAATATGCAGGATATCTGATATCAATAAAGCTTCATAATTTTTTTTTTCAAATGTAGCATGTGAAACATATATATATATATGCATTTTGTGTTTGTGTTTCCGTGCCTGGAAGACATGGCAACCTCTGGCAACTCTTACTCGTGTGTGGAGGACATTCAGAGAAGTGGCTTGATAGCCTGCCTCTGCCTCCTGACCCTGGTATTCTTTGGAGATCTCCTATCCCAATACTCGCTAGAGTCAGCCCTGCTTAGCTTCTGAAACCTGACAAGATCAGGCTTGCCTGGGCTATCCTGGTCAGGGCTGTGAACCCAATATCTTGAGGATCATTATTCACAACAATAATGACAAATACATTTTAACTGTCTAATTCAACATGGGGTTGGATCCTATTAGGTTTCCAGCTCGTGCAATAAGGAAGACCATCTTGACCACCACAAGGTCTACGCCGAGGAAACCAACCTGAATAATACCCATGCAAGATGGGAGCTTCAGTGTGGATGGTAATTGGGAAAGTTCAACCACCAGAGCAACCATGATTCAGAAGACACAAGAGAATAATTTTTGGTCATCAAGATACTGATGGAACTATTAAGGTAAGCTTTTCTTCCTTCATGGGTACTTTGTATGAGCAATAAATTCTCCAACCATGAATTCCCTATTTTAGGGTTGGATCTAGCCAGTATTTCCACTGGTGAAAAGGGGAGGAACATGTTTGACTACCAAAAAGGGCATGCTGGAGGATAAGGGACCTGCATGGACAAAAGCCACAGGGTTTAGGGTATATAGTATGGAATATAATGGGGTGAGACTGGGTGAAAATGCTGGCTGGATTCAACTCATAGTCATATATCACCCACCCATGATTCCATGATAACATACATGCCAATCCAGCCACCTTTGACACACTTTAGGCTTCAGTAGTCTTTGCCTTATAGTATCTTTGGAATCTTTTTATTCATTGCTTGGGAGAACTAAGGAACTATCAATTCTCTATTGAGTACCAAGGCCTGAGGTATCTAGCACAAGCACTTTTTAAAAATGATAGAACAAACATTCAATCAAGAATGGTTTTCCTTTTTGTAGTGAGGCTGAAACAGGAATACAAAAGACCTCTTACTTTCAGAAGGGCTTCGTGTGACACTCAGGTCAGGAGCATAGAAGAATTTTTTTAAAAAAAAAAACACCACAAATAAATACAACACTTTAAAATGAAATATATGTATTAAATAAAAGAATAACCACACCTGAAATGCTCTGTGATTTTTTTTCCTGGTAAGTAGCCCAAAGTATTGCTTTTTTATCGTTATTATTTCTTCCATGTGAACTGCACAGAGCAAAACATATTTACAAATGTTTAAAGCTAGGAAGCAGCCAACCTCTTAAATAGTTCAAGGAATTGTGTTAAGTATCTGTTCTTGACTTCAAGTTGCCATTATATTATAAATGGGTTAAATTGCATTTGAAATAGGTGTTCTACGACCAGAAATACATGCTGTTAGTTGGCCCTAACAAGTAGCCTTGTGTTGAAGTAATTTCTTGGACATCCAGTTCTGTTCCTTACTATTAAGCTCCCCTCATACATAGCTTTTTAGCTGTGCCGGTTTCCTGATCTGCCCCATAGTCTAATGGGGTGGCCATAGAGGATCCCTCTTTTCTTTTTCACTAGCAAAAGAGGCAGCTGGATCCTGCACATCATGGATTGGAGCCATAGTAAAGGTAAAGGTAAAGGTTCCCTTGCTCGAAAGCCAGTCGAGTCCGACTCTAGGGTTGCGGTGCTCATCTCCGTTTTAAAGCCGAAGAGCCAGCACTGTCCAAAGATGTTTCCGTGGTCATGTGGCTGGCATGACTAAACACCAAGGCGCACGGAACGCTGTTACCTTCCCACTGAAGTCGTACCTATTTATCTACTTGCAATTTCTTGCTTTTGAACTGCTAGGTTGGCAGGAGCTGGAACTAGAGACGGGAGCTCACTCCGACATGCAGTAACTTGGTTCTCGAACTGCTGAACTACTGACCTTCCACAGCCTGCAGTTCAGCGTCTTAATCACTTGAGCCACCACAGCTCCATAGTACTAGCAAAAAAAGGAGTTAACTTTCTCCCTCTCTTTCACAGACACACAGATATACACATTCACCATTTTCTTGTTGGAAATAACTCCCCAGACTGTTTTACACCCTGGAAGGGAAAACAAACAAACAAACAAAAACCCTCCCTACTGAAGCATAAAGCATTCTGGAGAAGGAAGGAATGTGTATTCGGATATTCATGGACCAAAAATATACACCTGAAATTTGCTCTTTCAGGTCAACCTGAAACTTCTGAAATTCTGGCAGTAACAGAAATGAATCTTCTGGACTTTCAGGAGG